ACTGAATCCCCCTCCCCCCACCAGTTCATTCCTTAAAAGCAGTGGGATTTACCCACACATCATTTCCACTTCCCCTGCCCAAGTTACAACAGTATCATGCTAGTACGGCAACCTGATTTCGGACAGATTGCGGGTGGCATTCTCCTGCTAGAGGACCTGACCCAGAGCTGCCATGTCCCCCTTCTACTGTGGAGATGCCACAGGTCGCGGCAAGTACCTGTACCCGTACCCTGAGCTCCAGCAGTCACCATCACCACACAACAGGTAACTCTTTTCAAACTGGCTGCAATTACAGGACCATGGAAGCCTGCCAGGATAAAGGACTACCAGGGGCATTTTTAAATTGGTGCTCAATTAAACTGTGCAGACCATAGATTCTGTACACTTGCTGGGAAGCGAGATGGGAATTCCCAAAATAGAAGAAAGATCCTTGCGTTGTTTTTTTGCAACACGGTTATTCTTGCTTCCCAATTCCTTATGCACTAAACACTTATTTTACCAAATCACATATTGGATATTTACTCCAGAATTTCACAACACAAATGTATACAAGTACGTACGGAAAATGAAGCATCATCCTATAATGATCTCTACCATTAAAACACACAATCCCTTCATATCCAAACCCACACACCTGCTCACTTTATAGCACGGTAATTTTCCTGGTTGCGATCTAATTTGCAGAGAAATCCTAATTCATGCTAAATAAAGACTAAAACTCAGAACAGTACACTGAAACCTATGTAGGAAAATAAAGTTTGTTTTCCACATTCCAAATAATAACAAAAACAATAATAAGGAAGTCATAGTAATAGGTTCTTTCAATTTAAATACACACACACTTCCTCAGTTTTGCCCACTCACCCCAAATTCTTCTCATCACAATATAGAATAAAAAGTGGAAGGACATTTTCAATGAAATTTAAATACCTGAAATTGAAAGCGTTTAATGTTAACACTAATCTTAAAATAAACTTATTTTAAAGAGGGCAGATTAAGCAGCAGTTGCACAATTTCACAGCTTTTGTTTTTAACATCTTAAATGCCTGTATGTTTTCTTCATCTACTTCATCTGCATTTGTTTATGAAAACCTCAGTGTTTTAATTTATTTCTCTGGTTTGGTAAGTTGATGGAGATGCTCACACTACTTGCTACAAACACCTCCAATATGATGCATGACATGGCAGTTCTAACAATTTTGGTCTTCATTAGATGTGCAGGCAATTCCAATTGCCAGTCGATACTTGGATTTTAGTAGTGTGGCAATCTAACATAAGTTATACCCCAAAAAGAGAGAGAATTTGGGAATTTCTGTTTTTTTAGTTGAACGTAACAGATGCCTTTCACTAGTGCCTAGAAGCAAATATTTTGAAGACAAGAATATCAAATTAGTATTTTCCCAATTTCTTTTGTAGTGAAAAATCATAATGAAGATTATAGGCCTTAGAAAATAAAAGTTTGGCATAATGGAACATAAATACAAATTCCTGCACAAGCAATTAGGTCTGGAAACCTGCTTCAGATAAAAAGAATTGAAGGAAAACAGTCACTTTCATCTGAAAAGATATTTATTTTGAGAACTTCAACTTGCACATTGTACAAAAAATTGACAAATTCAGAAAAAATCCTATAAAACGTTGTTTTTTTTTTTTCCCCTAACATATTAACATTATAATTTTAAAAAGGGTAAGAATTAAGAAAACCAAAAATAGGCACATTTGTTCCAGTCTGTCTGCAGTAAAGTGTGATTAAAAACATCCCTGTCTTGTTGAGGTATTAAACTGCAAACTTTGGTAATGTTAGAAAAAGACAACCCATTCACAAAAGTAAGCCTTCTCGGTGTCATGTACAATAAACAAAATGTTTCATAAAAAAGTCAGAATTGGTTATTCTCCATTTCCAGGTAGAAATGCAGCGAAACAAAGAAAAAAAGTCATGTTACCATAATACACCTAGCATTAGGAGGAAACCTGTAAGTTTGCAAATCCATGCTAATCATATACAGCTACAGTGTTATATTTTACCCAAAGAATAAAATCCGGTTGGCAAGTTTAAACAATTCAGTGCTTATGAAAAATATATATGGTGGTTCAGAGCCCAGTCTTTCAGAAAAGGACAAAAGGCACTTAAGAATGGCTTTAGTATATTCCACAATGGCATTTCTGGATAGAAGACAGCACCTGGCTGAACAAATAGTTCCCTAATAAGAAAGAAGTCCAGCTGAGGTAGTACTTCATATTGCTCCAACCACTTGGCTATACACAAGCAGCTTTTTTTTTTGAAATACAAAATTAGCAGGAAATGGCTTTTGATAGGTTTGTCAAATGTATAAAAAACAGTTCTTTAAAAAAATAGCAAATACCCACTTGTGGTAAAAAGATCATAAGCCAGGAACCATCTTGTACAAATCGAGCATCAAAATGCTGCCAAGGGATGCACAAGTCTACCTTTATGGCCAAATCCCCAAACATTGAAGATTGTTCTAGCAACCAAGGTATTTTTTTGAATTATAAAAAAAAAAAAAAAAAGGGGGGGACACAGGGGGCACTCTAAGAACTTTCATAGTCATTAGCAGCCTTACCGGAAGCACTTTGTAAGTCCATTTAAAAAAATAATTCTGTGCTGATGAATGGCAGTTTTGAGGGGGGGGAAACAACTGCAAAGTTCAACATTTAGAACAGAAACAAAATCCACAAACATACAAAAGGATATTCCTTGAAGTTTATAGTTTTTTAAAAACAAGGAAGACTTTAAACTTTTTTTAGGGGTCTGGGAGAACACAGACTACTTTTTTTTTTTTTTAAATTAAGCCCATTGAAAACCCATTAATAAGTTTGAACAAAAGAAAATTAGAAGTGCTTTACAGAATCACCGTCCATTGCCATATCCAGGAAAGAGCTGAGTTAGAATGGTCTGCAGTGTCTCATTCACTTGCATGGTATAATTTTTGCCAAGATCATAGCGGCAGGCTGGACAACTGTACACATCAGCTTTGAAGGATCTATCTAAACAATCCTGGTGAAGGACAAAAAAATAATTGGTTAAGAAAGAGAGATGTGCAGTTTAGGTTATTCTACAAAGCCCCCACTGGAGAGAATGAGATTCCTTTTACATCCTAGTTCACCCAGGTATTGACAAGAGCTGAGAAATGCTGAGAGCAATGCAAGGCTAGCAGCTGGAGAGAAAACTTCCTTCACTATGTGCAATAGCACGTGCACTTCAACAGAGCACATTAGTCATGGACACAGTATTTAGGTATATGGTAGAGATATTTCATTCAATTGCATTTCTAAAGATCAAGAATTCCCCCGCAGCTGTTAAAGACTGTTGGAGCTTCTGCAAAAACACTTCACGTCATTCTTCAAAAAACAAAGCAAAACGCCATACATTCTGTAACACTGTCGAATCCATCAGTGTCACCTAGCAGTATTACTGAGCCCGCAGAGAAGCTCTTGTCATCTTTTAAAAGAATCGGATAGTAACAATTCAATAGTGGAACTTTCTTTAAAGCACAGACTTTTCTATGCCAAAGAACTTTCATCAAATCATAAAGTTTTCACATATAAACCCAGCCGAAACCAGGACAAAGACTAACTACTGGCAAAAAAAACCCAAACCAACCAACCTCCCCACCTCTCTCTCACCTAAACAAGTCAGCTCAAAGCTCGTTGGCTCAACAGAACTCGACAGAAGTTCTATTGATTACTCACCTTGCACACATTGTGTTGGCATACAGTTGTGACTGGCCGAAACACAACCTCCTGACAGCAAATACACAAGAAGGCCTCTTCAACTTTATTTAGAAATTTCTGTAAGGACAACATTTGAATCAACTTATTGCTACTACCCTCTGAAAGACACAGCCAAAAAACCTCAAACACCCCACATTAAATGCAAGGGTTTACTTTAGTCATAGAAAGTTTTTCTACAAAGCTCAACAAGGAAAAAAATAGTTACATTAAACAAGTTCTGATAACTCTTCTTACTGACCTCAAATACAGTGATTTAAAGTTATGCTGTGGATGTCTAAGCTAAAAAAATGCTATAGGTCTGAGGCTGTTTCTTTAATGCAGCCAAGAGGTTAGTACACAGGGATAGTACACTGGTTAGTTGTCACTTTATTACTGGGGGAAAAAAAAGCATGATGTACCGGTCCATCTTTGAGAGCTTCTAGTACTTCATTCCACAGTTTTTCATTGGCTTCGTCACTTTTTATAAGAGATTTTTGCTGAGATGTCAGCTTGTATGGCTCAACTTTAGTTTTCTTTGGAGTCCCTGTAGGAGAGGTAATGAGTTTTTCCTCCCCACCTGAAAGAAAACACAACAACTTTTTAAACAAACAAAGAAAAAGCAACCAGAAAAGAGTAACTAGGTAAAATGCACAAAAACCTACAAGGCTTTCTATATCCACTTGCCTACTCCACAAACCTGCTGATTTCCTTTTCCTTTTTCCTTTCCCCGGGGTATCAAACTCATCATCTCCATTATTTTCTTTTTCCTTATCTTTGTTTGCAACAGCTTCCAAATACCCTTCAGGATACTACAGGAAAATACAAGACAAAAAGCATCCAGTGCAAACATGCCAGTTCATACTTACAGACTATTACAGATCAGAAGAATGACCTCTGGAGAACTGCTCCAGGGGTTCTCTATTTTAGGCAAGAGATCCCTGCTTTTGCAAAACACTTATTCAGACTGTAGAAATTCTATACAAGAAAGCGAGTTTTGTCCACTTAGCCTCCTGATGTAAAAAGAAAACAAACAACCCACAAGACGGAAAGCGCTTGTGTCCCCCTTAGTCTAAGGGGGATGTCTTGATTCTCACACAAGGATCATCCTCAATAAGAATGTATAACAGAAAAATTCCTGCTATCCATTAAGTTCATTGTCCAGGGTAACCCTGATGATGTTCCAAAAGAGTACCTGCATTGTTAGGCCAAGCTTTTTCATCCTGTCCTTTCCTTCTTTGGTCCAAGGAGCAGGTTCTTCATCATCCCTCCTAAGTAAGTAACGCCATACTAAAAATCCAGATTTCCCTGTCTCAGGCCAGTATTTCACAACCTAAAAAAAAGTCAGATGCAAGCCCATCATACACTATAAAAACCCCTTGTTTTTTTTTCCCTACTTCAGTAGGCGAATTCAAATTCTTCTTACCTTATATATTCCATCATATCTGTTCCCTTCTACAGGAGCATATTTACTATGTTTGCCTCCTTTTACATTCCTCACCACTCGGACTGGCTTCCCAGCTCTCCAGTCCTTGGCTTCAGCTCCATTTTTGTCGTTGATGGGGGCACTGCAGTTCAGAGCCAGAGCTCTGTAAGAGAAAGTCCAATCAACTTAGTGTATTTACCAGGCAGAACTCTTCAGAATCAGAGGGAGGATAAAGCAAAACAAAGCATGGTAAACGAGCTAGTAAGAAGTAATAAATTTAAACTATACTATTTTAGTCAGAGCAACGCATTGATACCGTTGAGTACAATACTAAGAGTAGCGGCATACTAGCATTGTACTGAACCACAGCAATGGCTACCAAAAAACTGGAAGCTACGGCCTCTTTGCAGATCCGGAAGGAGCCCCTTCTGAATCTCTTCCAAGGAAAAAGGATGTAGCCTGGCTTTTGTTTGTTTGTCTTAAACAGTAACACTTTCAACTATCTTGTATAACTGAGAACTCTGGGAAATAGTAATTAAGCCTCCTGACTGGGGACGTCATTTTAAAATATGCTGATTATTCATTACATTACCTTAATGTAATTGCACGGACCACCTCCTCCACACAAGTCCACATTGATTTGTAAGAGTAACAGTTCAGAATTACAAATGATCTGGTCTCCCAAGGTGACCAGTGGCTGCAAAGGTCTTCAGGAGAGAGTATGAAGACTTCTACACTAATTTACTACTCTGTTCCTTAAGTTTCAGTCAATATTAATTGTGAAATTAATACCATTTACAATTCTGTTTCATTTATAGTGCACTGTAAGAAGCATTTCCATTGTGCAACTGATCTGCAGCCTACAACACAGTCGAAACCCATTTTTGACAGTTTTTCCACTTAGCCAGTTTCTTTTGATACAAACAGGACAACCAATTTTTCGGGTTGACAAATTGCCAGCGACTAAGGTTAGGAACAGAGTGTGAATGGTGCTGACCTGTTCATATTGGTGAGTTTTTGATCACAGGACTGTTCCGCTGTGCGTTTGTTTCCAGAAAGATCGCGCCCTCCGCTCCCTGTATATGTGAAGGAATTTCCATGATCCTGAAACGTATATGGATGGTTTCGACACATTCACAAAAATAATTCAATAAAAGCATTAGAGTTTTTTAATCAGGTAGCTTTAATACGGTATTCTCAAAAAAGGAAAGATGCTTCCTCCATTTAAGCTCCCAGACTCAGTCTATGGTCCTCTCTTATACTGCCAAGAGAAGAGTCAGGGTGACAATTGTTGTCTTGTCACACACCTTAAGTGCAGAGGCCTCTGCCAAGAGAGCAGCACCCCACTCGCACAGAATCTGCTTGGAAGCGCAGGGGCATGCTCCATATAAGGATAATGTAACTTGTGCCTTAGTACTTACACCGTTACATGACCCTACAGGCAGAATTAAGACTTAGAACAACTACCGAGATTCGTGCCTATCTGTTTTACATGAGTTCTAACAGGCGTTCAGGTAAGGGCGTGCAGGCTAGCAATGCACTGGTGATCTGCAAGAAGAATGAGCAGTAGAGCCTGGTGCAGCCCAGCAAGGGTTAGGTTCGGCTAGCAGAACCAAATGGTATATTCAGAAGTAGGACCTCTGTCCCTAGTTTTGTTCTGAACACTCTTCTGACGCAGGAAGATCTGGCAGCATATACCATGTATTCTGTTCAAACTGTGGATGCAATGGAGACCCGGAAAGGGCAGCTAAGGACTCTTGGATTAAAGGTGACATATGGATATTAAACTTAATTTAGATGATCCTGTTTCTCAGGTTGGCATATATTACTGGATTGTAGTTTGCCTTTGCATAGTTTTCTTCTGAAGAACTTAAGTATCATCAAGGTGGGGAAATGTCTGATAGAGAGTGTAAAAAGTAACTAAGGCCAAGTCTTTGTTTTAACTACAAGGTAGATTGGTTTTCAGGCATAAATAATCAAGATTCACTTACTATGTCATCTTCATAGCCTCCTGCCAGAACCAAGGAATAGGCGCCATCATTACTTCTGCCATGTATACCTGCTACGTGGGGCCTGTGAACACCAGATTCGCTCACCTGGAAAAAAAAGTTTGCTAGGCAACTGCTGTCAACAGGCTACGAACAACATGACTACCCATTGGTCTTGGAACTAAATTAACTAATAGTACTATTTCAGATTTTTTTTGCATACATTACAGGGTGAAACTGTGTTCTCACCGCTATCCTCCAAAGAGCTCCAGGTAGAGGAAAGAAAAAGAAAAATGCTTTTAAAAAATAAGCCAGATATTTTTTATGATGTGAATTTAGAAATTTGGATCTTTCTCACTGAGATTGCTTATTCAAAAGCTCTGGGAATTTAAGAATAATATGGATATTAAAATTAAATGTTTGTATAAGGGGACTGGTTTTTAAAAACTTGCAATAGCAACCTTCACCTAATACTTGAAAACAAGATCTGGATAGGTCAGTGCTTTTTCTTCCCCAACTTTCTGACGGGATGAGAAACCCTTCTGTTTAATATATCTAGATATTTGAGAGAGACCCTTACCAAGAGAACAACTGGGAGATACTACACATCTCCAGGACAAACCATTGGAAACAAATAGATTTGGTTTGGGGTTTTTGAGTTACCAAAAAAAGCACTGAAGAAAAAAACACTTTAAATGCCTGGACAATGCAGCATTAGTTATGGAACACTTGTTCTAGACAAAGCCAGAATTCTTTCCTTTCTGCACTTACATATCCAGTGACATACACTCCAAGATTAACTGTTTCAGGTTTCTCGTAAGAGCTGGATCATTCCCATTTTTCCCTACGTGGCTCAGGCCAGGATTCAGCTTCATACCTGAACTCTGAACTTCCACATGGTGCCAACCGGAATCCCAGGAATTGGTCCATAGTGGTTCGAGGGGACAATGGTACATTCCTTTGTGCGACCAACACATGCCATGCCCTGTTTCAAAGAGCAAGACCAATCAGCCAACAATTACAAGGAACTAACACACACTATTCTTCAAAATGAAACGGCTTTTGAACTGACCTTGCCCCAGTCTCTCCGCGAGGATGAATTAGCAGATGCCATCTTTTGTTTCTTTTTACTTTCTTTTAATTTCTCTCCTGCTAAAACCACCTCACTTGCATCATTTCGACATTCAGGGCAATACCTAAAGTCACCAGTCAATGGAAATTAACTAGTAGTAAAGCCTTAAATTAAAAGAGAATTTCCTCAAAACATACTGAGTTATAATGTTACAATTTCCCCATGTGAAACTAGACAGGACACTGAAACAACTCTCCATACTGGAATTAGACCTGTATTAGCTAGTGTCCTTGCACAATCTTCTACGCCATTGCAGATGTGTCAGGAAATCAGCTGTATCATAAAAATCATTGTATAAAATGCTGAAACAGGACACAAGGAATAAAACAGTGTACTTCACTATCTATATGTATATAGATAGATATACTTCACTATCTATATACATCTCTATATATCTATCACCATATATATTTCATATAAAACAGTATATATCACCAGCCTAATATGGTGATGGGGCCTGTGGACTACTTGTAAGTGACCCATAAAAACCATTACATAAGTTAAGCCTCCTGGCATCAGGTTTGCATTTGGTTTATAGGTAGCCGCACTTCTCTTTGAATAAGCGTATATATCCCAAAACTAGGAAGAGAAGTTTGAAAGCCACTGCCTTAAAACATACTCTCACTAAACTGATGCTCAAGAAAAGCTATGAAGTCCTACAAAAAAAACCCCCAAAACACACACAAACATCTCTTCACCTCGTACAGTCACAATATTGCCACCTAAGGGCAGCATGAAGCCCTAGACCTCACTTTCTGCTCCTAATTTGATGGTAATTGCAATACCACACACTTAGAACTTACCAATCCTCATCATCTGGTATACTACTAAGGGGAGGGTTGAGGCAGTAGATGTGGAAAGCCATATCACACTCATCACACATTAGCTGTTTATCTGGATCTTGTTTACCTCCACAGATATGGCAAGCACAAATTCTGCAGGTCTTGTTTGGGTTGTCCTTACAAGCTTTACACACAGGTCCATTTTGTCCTGTTGGCAAAAAGAAACCACAGTCTACTTCAGACTCCAGAAAGTGCCAAGATATGCTGGAAATGGTCAAAGCAGTCACAACTACAAGTGTTTTGGAACTCTTAGACCTCTGATCCTCACAAAGCCAATTAGCAGAATATCACAAGGTAAGACAGAGACATGCAAGAGCTATGCAACACTCACGTTTTAATGGACTGGCACTAATTGGACAAGCACTGCCTGGTTCTTCAATTTTATAAATTTCATCCACTAATGTAATTCTGCAGTCATTCAAGGAATCACCAGCATCCCTATAAGGAGAAGTTGATAAAAGTCAACAAGATCATACTTTGAAAGTATCATACAGTATGAATTCACAGCTGTGCACGTACACTGGTAATGCAGACTTGTCTGGTATTAGTCCTGTATTACAAGAAACCTGTTATAGCATCGCATGATGGCATGACAGCATCACCACAAACCAAACCATTTTCATGCAATTAAAGTGTGCCCTCACTTGTATCAATGAGAATCCAGACACTTGTAGCGTTCAATTTATCATCAGTAACTGTTCTCCCTCTTTCAGACTAACTCTTCTCATATTTTACAGTTAAAAAGTCAAAATCACTATGGTGAGAGGAAAAAGGGGGAAATATTCTGGCAACCCTGTGAAACTTTTATCTGAAACTTTAAAAAAAAAGAAAAAAAACAACCTTTTTTTCCCCCTGAAGTTGAGAGTCTCTTATATGTAGGCTCATTTTCTCCTTTATTAGGAGAGAACTGGAGTAATTTTTCATCATCTTTATAAAGTGAGCGTTCAGTCTACGTTATCATATCTAGCACAAAATATTACACTGAAGTTTTTGTAAACCCATTATGGATAGTTAACAGAAAACAATTCTTCGCCTCTTAGTGAATACGGGGCTTTGTATCCTCCCAGCATTATGTGAATCCACAGCTCAGTGTGCCCTGTGATTCCTTAAAATGTCCAATTCCTCCAGTTCATCAAAAGTGCAGTATGACGAAGTCAATCACCCAAAAAGGACAGCCCAGCTTCTCATCTCTCCCCAGCACTTCTGTTGCACCATTTTTGTTGCATCGTTTTTTTCAGCAGAGTCACTCAGACCTCATGAAAGTTTAAGTAGAGTTGGGGAATTCAATTTATTCCACATTATGAATTTGCTTACCCAAGTAAGATCTTTGCATTTATCTCCTTAATCATTTTTGTTTCCCGTTTTTGCAGAATCTCCGCATCGTACCAAAAACCTCTCTCTTTTGGTTCATCGGGATTATAGTTGACCATCACCACCTGTCCTACTTCTAGCTGGTGCCACTTCAAAATAGTCCGTGCACGAGCGCGTACATCATTCGAACTCAATTCTACAACTCCATTCTCTGGATAACTTGAAGTAGAAGGGAGGCACGGAGGGACAGAGAAGAAAAATCAGATTCAACATCACAAGTTGTTGTAAAGGATAGATTTTATCCAGACAGGTTGATTTAAGAACTGATGCCGCACAACATACAAGAATATCATCAAGAATAAAGTCTCCTTCTCCCACACAGACACAGGCAGAATCAGGCAGTCTAACTTTGCTACTATCATATCCCATTTAAAACTTGGATAATGGCATTTCATATTTCTAAAAATATTATTCCAGCCCACTGGAATTCCAGTTGGAATACACTTGAAATTCCAACTGTAAGACAAACTTACAGTTAACAGGGCTCAGTAATGTAATTACTGCATTAGCCCAGTTCTGTTTCACCTTATGGATCTCTACAATAAAATTTCCCATCAACATCATGATCCAAATGATTTTATTATCCAAGAAGGTAACAAAACTCACTCCTCATATTTCACGTGGTATATTACATCTTCTTCAGGAATGGCTGTCGGCTGATCAGGATCTGTGCAACTGTCAGCTGATTCATTTGTAGGTTTTTTTCTGGTTACATTTACAACCTGGGCTTCAAACCATGCTCCCATATTCATATCTCGAGCATCGACCAAGTCATTGATCTACACAAAGCAAAGCATACAGCTCACCAAAATGGATTTTCAAATTAAGCGTTCATTTCCAAGTCTACTTGAAGATTTAACCATCTCAAGAACTTCACCATTATCAAGATATTTAACAGATCATCTTAAATCCTTTGCCCTCCTGATCCTGTTGTGCACCCCTACAGTCTTCTCAGGTTGAACCTCTAAGGCTAAAAATCCATTGTACACCAACATGTGCACAAACAGCTTTCTATCTAGTACAAGCCATTATTAGTTAGTCTATAACACACTTTCAGAACTGTCTCGCTCATAGTCTGGCAAAGACATCACTAGATCTGTAATAAAATCCATTGAAACAGACAAGTAAAATGACTCCGAACAGCTGGTTGAGATTTTCTTTTGTTCATTCAAGAAAGTTTCAGCTTTGACAAATGCAATGACTCCAAGCAAAAATATTGGGAAAATTTTTTAAATCAAAACAGGCACTCAGAATGCTTTTTTTTTTTTTTTTTAATCAATTAATGTATTGTAGTTTCAGTTAAAAGAATAAAATGAAAAATAAAATATTTTGACCTACAACATGTTGCATTTAATTGGTTTGTGGGTTGGTTGGTATTTTTTTGTTTGTTGTTGGTTGGGAGAAAAAAAGTACCCACACAATTGGGGCATGAAAGACTTTCAGAAATTCCCAACTACAGAGAAACAATTCCCCTCCTGAAGTGCAGTTTTAAGTAATCTTAGTTTTTTAATGACTCGCCTTATAGAGACCAAATCCCGGGTCAGTCCAGTCAGGCTGCGCCGCTGTGCTCGGCTGTCCCTCCAGTTCCATGGCACCTTCTCCGTTGTGAGAGCTTTTGTCAGATTCGCTTTGGCCTGAGCCACAGCCAGAGTCTGTGTCGGAGAGTTCAGAATCCTTCTCCTTACTAACAGCAGGAAGCACTGCTGGGCTTTGTCTGACCAAGAGCTGAACGATATCGTTCAGTCCAACGCTGTAATCGAAAAGGGAGTGACCATCTTCCATCTACAGGGAAAGCATCAAAATGATCTGGTTATTTCATTCAACAGAGGTTTTCCAATTCAAAACCACCCATCATGCTGTAATTGTCGCTATGTGCCAAGAAAGACCACATTGCTTGAAAACCATTAACAATCAAGGAACTTGGCAGTTCTTCAGCATCACAGTTACTTACAGATCGTTATTCTTACTATTTAAAATGTTCTTTTTTCAAAGGACTTTACAAGCTAGAAGAACAAGACTTCCATGCTGCAGTAGACTTGCTACCCGGATTAAGCCACTGTGTTCTAGGAGGTCTGAAAAGGTTTGCAGTACATACCCTAGAAATATCAATTCTGGGAAGAAGGACTTAAAGAACTACAGATCCCTACATTCCTATCAGGGAATAGGATAGATAATTCCACATTACCTACAAACTCAAAAGTTCTTTCTTCCTTAATTCAGACACATCCCATAACATGAACTTTAACACAAACTGGTCTTTATATTGTAATTGTGTATGTTCCAGATTATTGTTACAGCATGGCTCTGTTAAATGCAGCATTAAAGAGAAGCCAAAGAGTTAATCACCTACTTTTCTCTGGGCAAGCACACAATTTTTCCATTGAAAGTAAAATTAAAAAAGATTCAATTCAACTTGAAACTACCCAATCACTTTTTAGCGTAGCCAGGCACGTCCTAATTTCACACTCTCTCTAATTTTAAGAGTTTATTATGCAAGTCTGGCATTATATGTAGTCAAATCAAGATTCTACCCCTGCAAAAAGTAAAAGAAGTACACAGGACCAAATAGGCCTCTCAATTACCTTTCAAGAACTCTGAGGAGCACTACCATTTTAGAGTTAAAATGTAGCACTCGAGCCTGCAGTGCAGTTAGAAGTTTAGACAGGCTTCACATATTTAAGGTCTGACTAAGAAATTATACAGGAAATGATCGTCCCTTTCCAGCCCAAACCACCAGAAAAAGCAATCCCCAGAGCTTTGTTCTCTATCAGTGGGAAACAGAGCAAAACCACAAAAATTTACACTTCACAGGAATCACTATGATAATTCAATTCTGATTTATGGCATAAAATGTCTATGGAACAATCCCTGGATATCTGACTCCACAGGAAGTGATTTGGACTTTTTCGGGTTTAGAGAAGAAAACCCATCGAAATACACAAGAACAAACCAGGGATCAGTTGTTTCTTCTTAACAAAAAGACAATATCCCAAATCTGGTATCATTATCAATAGCAGTTATCACCAAGGAACACAAGTGACAACAGGTGCAAACAAATGGAAGAGCAGAGAACACCAACAGGACCTGAAACCACAGGAGTTCAAAGGACAGTCTGAAAGAAGTGCCAGCATCCGAAGATGTACCTCTAACAAAGGAGGCAGGTTTCTTAATTAACGAGTATTTTCCTAACACCATTTTAAAATTCGAATTAATAAGAATTTGAACATTTCTAACGATTCAAAAAGCCAAACAAAGCACAAATGAGCGCAGCAGACTAAGAGAGGTTAGATCACACTGGATAAACGTTTCTGTCTAAAACCACGCCTAAACTAAGAACTACTGGAATTACACAAAGAGGAATTATCTTTGTAAGGCAAGTGCATCCTTACTGAAAAAAGTTATCACTTCTACTGAAAATCTGTTTAACCTTAGTTATCTGCGCAGACTTCAGCGTAAGCAAGTCTGACAGTTGGTGTGTACCCTGGACCAATCCTCCCTTATCGCTTTATCTACAATGGGTAATTACTGCACCTGAATCTACACACACAAGAGAGACAAGGCAACACAAGCCCTTCAGAGATGCTACATATTCCTTTGTGTACAAGCCTCTTTTTTTACTACTACTGGTACCCAACCTTGTTAGATTAAAGCCAGTCCATGTGTATTTCCATATCCTACAGTCACACCTGCTAGTTATGATGTACAGCTAGCTCTAGTCATCCCAAAATGGAGGGAAAGGTGGAAAAAAGCAACTAGAAGAAATTGTCTAACTCCACCCACCTCACAGTATTCCAACTGCAGTCTAAAGTAGCCCGCTATTTCTGAAATTAATTTCTTTGAACAACCAACCACTGGTTCAGAAGTTTCTTTAGCATGAAGTGCAGTACTATGCAGGATATGGAAAAAGTATTTGAAAACAGTTTCAGTTGTCTTTAATACTAATTTAGATACATTATTAACTCATGTGGAAGAAAATAGCTGTCGTACAACTGTGATAATAAACATACCGTTGAGACCATAATTACTACCGAGCCAGCTAAGATTTTACATAGAGTTCTGTACCTAACGCGATTTTGATATAAGAGCAGAAGAATCTAAAAATCACGAGCTGCTACTCCAATTTACAAAGAAAAATAGGAAACGGGATCAGAGCAGTAAAACCCGCAAGGCTCAAAAAGTTTAAGCGCTGGGACCACAAAACCCCTGGTAGTATCTGTATTTTCAGAGACTTCGCAAAGGCCGTGTCAAGACAGAAAAGCAACACGATAGACGAAAAATAATCCAATTTTCCATTTATATTTGATACAGCACCAAAAAAGAAAAAAAAAAAAAAAAAACACTTTGCAACTTAAAAAAAAAAAAGCCCACTATCTTGCTGACTTCTCTCCTTGCAGACCCACCACTCGGGCAGCGCGGAAAGGAGTCCGGGAGTCACTAGATGGCAGCAAAACATCCCACTTTCACGCAATTTAAAAAAAAAAAATTAAAATATCGCTCCCCAGCTGGCGGGGGGACAGTAAAGGAGGGGTGGGGGGACAGTAAGGG